TTYTTTTTAAGTGAGMGGGCTGATAAATTGACCGAAAAATCACTTGATTTAAAGAGARAAAACATATTTAACCTATGAATTGACCTGTCTGTTTTTTAACAAGACTACTTCATTGACTTTTGAGGGATGATGTAAACCAGTAAAAAGCAGCTTTTAATTTCGAAGAAATGTKGAAGTTTGTGATGAAAACGAAACTGATTTGAAAAGTCGCTTTACTAGAGAGGATTTGGGTGTATAAACTCTGTATTGCACTAACCCTATTAATAAATTATCAAAAAATATAAATACTTGCAACTATTCACAATATACAATCTGTATTTTACAGAGGTGTAATGCTTTTGTCTTACTTTATTGGGTTTTGGGTTAATTTTTCATCCACATTTTTGGCGCTTCTTTTTCATGAYATAAAATTTGCCAATAAACGCTTCGATACTAGCTGAGGTCATTAGTTTACTAAGTTAATTAAACTATATTTGATAAAGGCATGCATACGAAACTACATCATGTTGTGAAAGCAGAAAAACGACAAAAAGGAACTCTTCTTTGATCAACAACTTGACCTACAAAGCCGTAGCTCTTGACTAAGCGAAGTCATTTATGATACTTAGCTAACTCTTACTCATAAACACGATCCAATCTTTCAGGGCCAAAACGCTGGAGCAAGCGATATGTTGGTTTTGAAGGAGATCGGCAGTCCCCTATCAACATTGTTAAAGAAGATGTGTTAAAAGACTCGAGTTTGGGTCCATTATTGATGTCTTACGGTCCTTCTACAAACTGTACTATCACAAATGATGGAAGAACGCTGCAGATTGCGATGTGCAATTCTGGTCATAAAAATGGTAAATTTGTGTTTTTGAAATTGAACTTTGTACTTTAGTTTTTGGCTGCAAATTGTATAGTTTTGTTGCCTTGCAACCAGTCAAGCGAATGACTGAATCATAACTTAAAAAACGTCCAAACATTGCTCAAAGTTTCTTATCAGAATGATGATACAGCTACAAGAACTCCCGAAACTCGTAAGGGGATTTTTGACGCCAAAACATTTTCARTTGATATGAAACAATGATAAAAGAATCTTATTTTTTATTATGGATATGTAGACAGTATTCTGCCTAGTATGGTCTAAAATTTTCCCCGCGCTTATAAATATCATCACCAGTCGAATCACGCGGGATCGCGATCAATCACGCTACCTATGTTTTTCATCCTAAATAATAATAGATTTTACGTATCTATGGAAATACATATAGYACTTAATGCCCCAAAAGAGACATTTTACATATTGCGTTAATGCTGACTTTTTAAACAATCYATAATTGTATTGTAAATAAAAGGCTAATTTGTCAATGACAAAAACGTTGATCGCCGCTTTTAATAGGAAYCAATTTGAATATAGCAAATTTTATAATTATGGCTCTTTTGACAGTGAATTGATATAAAAATGACTAAATTGAACGTACTACTAAGCGATTTTACATATGTTAGAACAAATGACATAAATTTTGTGGGTATTTTTTGATTAACTCGCCTCTAAACATTTCTTAAATGGTTAGTGCACCAAKAAAACCACAAGTCCCCTGGTTTTGTTGACATGGCTATTACTATGTAATATGGTCACTGAATAAACACTTGATCCAAACACCTGTACTTTGAAATGAGAATAAAGTCAAATATACCAGAAGTCTTTATAAGTAAAAAGTGACAGGAGTTTTAGCACTAAAAATAGTGTGAAAGAAACTGAAAGGAAATTAAAATTGACGTACCAGTGATAAAATCAAATCAAACGAAAAAAAAAAGGAAAAATTGAACGCAAAAAATAATTATAAAACAATTGCATAAAGTAAATAAATAATAAAATGAAGTAAAGTAAAAGTAAAGTACACTCGAATGCCAGTTTCCAGCTCTTCATTTACACAATTTATCTAAACATGCCACTTTGGCTATCAGTCYGATCTACATCGACATATTTCAACCTTCCTTCACTTTAATACAAAGAGTGCAATATAATATGATAATAGTGCTTTTTTGAAAAAATAATAACCATTCTCGAACCTCATTTTATAATAAAATACGTCGGGATGAAGTTGCGCGCGATTGTTTTATTGAATATTAAGAGTTACTAGAAATATCGATCAAATATCAATCTCAGTTTTATTTCCCTAGTGTATCTTACTGTAAATTTATGCACATCGGAACACTTTCATTTTCGAAAATGAGGTAGTAAGTGCATGATAATGATATTATAGGATCGCATCAACACTTGCAAACCATTTAAAAACCGACAAAGAACATTTYCAATTGAATCAACCGATAAGACGCCGATCATCATGTGTTGTGGCTTGATGATGACGGTGAAMTGGCTTCTTTGTGATTGTCAATTATAATAGCCCGGTATATTTGATATACCACCGTAGAACTGAAATGACCAGAATATTACGATCCATGGCAATAAATTGATATCACTACATTTTGCTTAAAACATSTTTATTTGACAGTGTAGTTGATGTGAGGAACAGCATGCAATTCCATTCCTCACTGCCCTGTGGACCCTGTCAAAAGGCCATCGTATGTTTATCCATGTGAAATCAAAACTAAATGACAAGATATTCGGACTAATGGATGGACTTATATATGTGGCGCCAAAAAAATGCAGTCCTTGAAATATCGGAAGCTTCATGGTGACCCTACGCGCACATAGAGCGGATTTCGTATGACTGTGCAAAAAACACGGTACGTTCGTGCTGTGTCAGTACCGTGCCGTAGCCGTGATGCATTGGAAAATCTTTACTTTCATTTGATCCGTGCTTTTGCACAGTCATACGAAATCCGCTCTAGGCAATGCAGCGACGCCATTTTGCACACTGACAAAGCATGATTGGCCGACGTGGTCCTCGCACATTATTTCATGTCTATTGAAACAGTCACTAAAAAACAGTCTTCAATTTTTCTTTAAAATACAACCAGCTTATAAGCATTTACAGAAACGGCCGATGGCGGACTTTACAAACAAACCAAAAAAGTTTAAAGACTACATCTCCCATCATGCTTTATTATACAAAATGGCGTCGTTGCACATTATCATTTTCGTGGCCGCACAGCAGACTAAGGGGCGCTTTTCCTCGAAACACCCTTCAARGAATCTATAAATCTTTGTTGACAATTTTCTAAACTTTTTGATATTTCCCGTAGTTTTGTGTGGTGGTCCATTGGCTCRCACCTATCAGCTAGCAATGATAAGGTTTCATTGGTCTACGGACGATTCTACTGGTTCTGAACATCAAATAGATGGAAATACTTATCCATTAGAGGTAACTGTAGCGCAAGCGGAGCGAGGAGGGGAGGGGAAGGTGTTAGCTACGCCCCTGAAGTGATGTAGAAAACATGATTTTGCTTTCTTTGTTCTTGACGACGCAGCACCCATTCATCCATCTTTCACGGTAACAAAAACTACTTGKCCTTACTTTCGATACTTCTTTGCCCCTTCGTTATGTACTTGTCTTTATACATTCAATAACTTGACAGCTCCAAAACTTCTTGTTTCTGAAAAATCCTTTGTCAGTTTTTGTGCGTTGTATTTTCGCATTTTTAGCAATCATAACTACAWAAAACGTTTGTAATGTAGCAGCTCACGTTTCGATATTTTTCAGATGCAGTTCCTTCATTGGAACAGAGAGTTGTACAAGAACATCGGTCAGGCGTTGACCGGCGAGAATGGACTGTGTATAGTAGCCGTCTTCTTTCAGGTAACACTAATCTGTTTGGCTACAACTCCTAGAAATCCAACGCTCAACTAAAAATGCGTTTCGTTTTTTTTTTGAATAGGTCGGCGATGAAGAACACGAAGCTCTGAWAGAAATATCGCGATTATTGTCACGTGACGACCACAAGGTGAGAATTTTTTTCGTTTGGTTTAATATTTTCACGTTCTATTTTTTGATAATTTAAAAATCTTTAGGGATGTTTTTCATCTGTAATGAAGACGCCAATMAATCCTGCAGATTTTATACCAGGTAAACGTGTACCTACAACGGTCAAACATCCWTGATGCTTTTGGTGTTTTTGCAACTGTCAATCAAATCTCCGAACTTCATCGAGCTKTTTTTTTAGCAGTGCACAAAAACACATAAAGACAATTACCGTTTGAMCCGTTTAAGTTCAGCAAAATACTTACAAAATGTAAAGCAAAACCATATTTGCATGAAAATGATTCTTTKTAGGTAATGATGGGTACTGGACATACCCAGGCTCCATGACAACACCTCCACTGACGGAAAACGTTACCTGGATAGTCTACCAGACTCCAATGGCTTTTTCTCAAAAACAGGTGAGCCCACTTAAAACCAGTTACGCAAACCTGTTATTCATATTTCATCGACTGCCTGCGATGAAGTCCCCGCGTCCACAAGTATCCGGATATCTTTGAAAATACAAACTTTTCTGATCCTAAAGTTTTTACGGGCTGCAAAAATTRAAATTTGCCAATCCAAATGTAGTTTTAGTTCTCAAGTTTAGTTTTCAAGWCTCAATGTGGTAACCGAGAGGGCTTTTCGTCCAAGATCCTTGATGTAGCCTTTATCAGTGAGAGATCACTAAAAACAGTGTTGTGCGCATTGTTCTTTGTAGATGGAAGTATTTCGTGGAATACGAACAACAAATGGCGACCTGATGGTTTGCAATTCACGTCCATTGTGCCCAACCAATGACCGAGAAGTCAGRGAGCCCGCAAACCAAGAAAACGACGAGGGTGCTGACGTCAATGGCATTCATGAAACTAACGTCAACAACGATGAAMCACAAGATAATTAGACATTATTTTTTTTAATTTAGCCATGTTTTAAATTTCATTATCATGTTGCAATTGAAACTATTTCTTAAAATCCTTTTCATGAAGAAATTTATTTAAGCAGAACCCACCATCGTCAGTTCTTTGGTGTTTTCATCAAAGTCAGGGAACTTTGGCCATTTTTGCATGCTTTCACTCCCCTTGTAGCCGCACAAACCTTGAACCAAAGCCGGATACTTGTTGAATTTAAAGTTTAGTAGCGGTTGCTTGCTTGAAAAAATGCTTAGATTTTTATCGTTTGTTGTTGTTTTTCCTGCTGCTGTTCAGTYTACAATGACAACACTACAGGTTCAAATTTTGCCGATTTTTTGCGCGCAAACCATTTAAAGCTCATGTTATAGAGTAAAATAATAAGAACATCTGGGATATTAAGTGCATCTTTGTCTTCTGCTATCTTTCACTGGGGTGACCACATGAAATGACTATCTAGTTTAACGTATATAGAATWAAGGTCGAGTGTACAAAGATAACCAAGTCTCAGTGCGTTCATTRAATCCGTGAMACACTTTGTAAGAAGTTGCACAAAATTGCACTAATTACACAATAGAAGACAAAGAATYWTGCACAAAATTTTGTTAGCAAAGTATTTCACGGATATTAGTGAATTCACTCTACCAAGTGTACATATAATGATCGAGAATACTGTAAGATGGTATTGATTCAAATAAAATAGACAAATTACGAAGACATTTTGAGCATTTGGTTTATTGGAACCATACAAGGGGGCCGTGGAGGTCCCCCCTCCCCCCTCATTTGTCTCCGAGATCCCTGAACAATAGCTTTCTGTATGATGCATGTGTCTAGATTATTTGTCTGTATCATAGAGGTTTTGGTGACCACAATTGTTCACGTTAGAGATGTTAGTAAGAGTTTCTATCGAACTGCCTTTGCCACTGACTAAATCTCGCACAGTAGATCAAAGCCAGCAGTCAGGAAAACAATCCATGGTTTGCCTGTGTCAAAATGTTCTCAACATCTATATCTACTTTTTTGCTTCCTTCCTTGATGAGCTGTAGTTTGATGGAAGGAGTTTCTTCCTTGATGTCTGTTTGTCCTTGGATAGCTTGTTTAGTGTTGTAATCAACTGTRATGTGGATGGAACTGCCTTGGTTGATCAGCTCTCGTTCATGGGCTGCTGCTAATTGATTTACAACGCGTCGTTCGACCTACAATCACCAAAAACCTTATCTTAACACCTGTGTGTATTCTCGCGCGCTCCGATCGGCTGATGTCCTCAAAACCGTGCGCAGTTTAAATATTAAAAAAAACATGTAGTGTAGGGTAGTGTAATTTATGTCTTTTTGTATGTAATAGTTGTAGTTGTTTATTTAATTTAAAAAAAACATGGATGAACAAACTGAATAAATAAGACGAAAGTTAGATGAAAACAGATGAACGAGATTTCTTTTGCAAAACAAGCTTTTAACGTCTTATCTTGATTTGCAATGCATTGTCGGACGGTTTCCACAGAAAACAAAAGAAATCCGCCATTTCCCCCCCAAAAATATACTACAATGCATTGAGTGTACGGTATATAAGAGGACCCCATTAGTAATGGCCTCCTGATATGACGTAAAAGCTTCAGACGTCTACTGCAGGGTGATCAATAAATTAAAATGAATACCTCATGTTTGATGGACCGTGCCCCATAGTACACATCATAACCATCAGCTAGAAGATCCATGACTTGTCTATCCCAWGTAATATGCATATCRTGACGATCTCTAGCCTAGGAARCAACAAGATGTTGATTGGCTGTCAATCATCAGCATCMAWKKKG